TATCTGCAGTGGTATGAGCTAAAGCACGATATTCAGCCTCTGTGGAACTCCGAGAAACAGAAGACTGCTTCTTTGATTGCCAAGAGATCGGATTGTCCCCCAAAAACACCACATAACCAGTGATAGAACGCCTAGTATTCAAATCAGCTGCCCAATCAGAATCACTATAGGCATTCACTGATACAGATCCACCAGAAACATATGTCAAACCATTAGAAACTGTACCCTGCAAATAGCGCAGAATCCTCTTAACCATGGCAAGATGCACATCAGTTGGATTACTCATGTATTGACACACAGTGTTAACTGCAAAAGCAATATCTGGACGAGTAAAGGTAAGATACTGCAAACCCCCTACCAAACTGCGATACAAGGTAGGATCAGACAACAAGGAACCATCAGTGGTTAGAATTTGATTATGAGGTTTACAAGGGGTGGAACAGCATTTACAATCATCCATACCAGCCTTATGTATAAGATCTTTAGCATATTTCCCTTGGTTGATAAACAGATCACCATTGGACTTGTAAGTAATCTGAAGACCAAGAAAATAAGATAACCTCCCCATATCCTTCAAGTCAAATACCATACTAAGATTAGTAATCACAGATTGCACCAGCTCAGAATTGGATCCTGTGATGATAATATCATCAACATATAATAGTAAAATAACAACCTGATCACCTTTGGTCTGCACAAATAAGCTGGAATCCGAAAGAGAAGCTTGAAAACCAATTGCGAGAAGATAACCAGTGAACTTGTCATTCCAAGCTCGAGGAGCTTGTTTGAGACCATACAATGATTTCACCAGTTTACAGACATGTGTAGGGAGCTTAGGATCAACAAATCCCTGAGGTTGTTTCATATAAACCTCATCTTGTAATTCCCCATGTAAAAAAGCATTTTTAACATCTAACTGTCGAAGTTCCCACTTAGAGGTGACAGCTAATGCTAAAATCAATCTCACAGTTGTATGGCGAACTACAGGACTAAAGGTCTCCATATAATCAACACCATGTTCTTGATTAAAACCCTGTGCTACCAACCGGGCCTTAAATCTAGAAATAGACCCATCACTATTGCGCTTAAGTTTGTACACCCATTTACTGCCTATAACATGCTTTTCCCCAGAATTAGGAACTAGAATCCAAGTACCCTGAGATTGAAGAGCATCAAATTCCTCTTGCATTGCCAACTGCCATTGAGGAATTTGAGAAGCTTGTTTAAAACTGGATGGCTCAGACACATCCGTAATGTCAGCAATGAAGGTAAAACCCCCTGAAAAATGAGCAGCGTCTGCAAGATTTAAGGAATAAACTTGAGGAAAGACAGTAGTAAGAGCAGAGTAATCCTTGCGAGTGATAGTGCCTGTGCGCAGTCTGGTTTGAATTCCCTGTGAAGCCATGGAACTGGGAACTGAGCTTTGTTGAGGGACATGCAACAAGGAATCGGGACCGGAAAGAGTAGCAGCAGTTCTAAATTCTGAACCAGGACTAGCAGATGAAGGTGTGCTTGGAGAAGCTGTAGACAATTGTTGATTAGCTAAAGAACTGGAAGAAACACGAGGAGAAGTGTCAATATTAGCAGATAGCTGAGAACTGTCTTGTGAAGCTGGGAAATACATCACCACTGGTCGAACAGGAATAGAAGAGGAGGATGAACCATAGGTCTGCAAACTGAGCATCTCCTCATAAGGAAAGGAGCTTTCATCATGCAACACATGGCGAGAAATAAGAATCTTGTCTGTGACCAAATTATAACACAGAGAGCCTTTATAACCATTCGAGTACCCCAGAAAAATACATTTGACAGATCTGGATTGCAGTTTGTTGACATTATAAGGGCGAAGATAAGGATATATAGCCGAACCAAACACCTTCAAAGAAGTCAATACAGGTTTCTTGCCATACAAGTGTTCAAATGGAGAAACCATTTGCAAAACCTTACAAGGCATTCTATTAATCAAGAAAGCAGCATGAGCAACAGCATAATACCAGAACCTGTGTGGTAATTTAGCCACTGACAAAAGAGTAATAGCTGTTTCAAGCAAATGACGATGCTTCCTCTCAGCCATACCATTTTGCTGAGGGGTGTATGGACAAGAAATATAATGCAACATGCCATTCTTCTCTAAATAAGCCTTAAATGAAGTATTCACAAATTCTCCACCACCATCAGATTGAAACACCTTGATCTTTGCATTGAATTGAGTTCCAACATATGCACAAAATTTAACAAAAGCACCAAAGACATCTGATTTATTGATAAGAGGAAAAATCCATACAAACCTAGTAGCTTCATCTAGAAAAGAAACATAGTATCTATAACCACCAATAGACAGAACTGGAGATGGTCCCCAAACATCACTATGTATCTTATAAAATGGAATATCTACCCTATCAAGCCTCTCTGAAAAAGGTAATCTACTCATCTTTCCACAGACACAGTGAGAACAGACTTGAACATGTTCATCTGGACTAGACACTATATCAGAAGCTTTAAGCATCGCACCAAGGATGTCATTGGACGGATGACCCAAACGTCGATGCCACAAAGACTTTTTCACAGTATGTCCCAAAAAGGCAGAAGAAACAACACCTGAATTGAACAATGTAGGAAACACACGCACTGGAATTCTGAACAACTCTGCTTTGCTACTCTTTCCGTGGTATAGAATTGCCCCTGTTGCCTTGTCCTGCACAAAAAACTGAACATCATCGCAAATGAACCAGCTATGATTATCCTTGCACAATTGTTTAACAGACAAAAGATTGACAGTAAGCAGCGGCACATGTAAAACATTTTTAAGGTGTAAAACATGAGACTGAGTAGACAAGGCAGTACTGCCAATATGTTTGACTTCCAAACCTGCACCATTACCAACAACTATCTTCTCATGTCCTTCATATGGAGTAGCCTGATTGAGAACATTAACATCAGGACTCATGTGATGAGATGCACCTGTATCAATGATCCATGAGTCACCATTGACAATAGCATTCGAACTCTGTGCATTCATACCAGACAAATCAGCAGGATGAGCTTGAGGTGTATTCAGAGGAAAGGAAGGAAACAGTGATGCAGAAGAACACAGAGGTACTTCAACCTGAGGTGAAAACCCTTGATAAGCACAGTTAGCAGACAAAGAGGGAGGTGGCTGATGACCTTGATAAGCATAATTTGATCTATGTCTGCAGTTGAGTGCAATATGACCTCTTTTCCCACAAATCTGACATTCTTGAACAGTCTGACCATTTCCAGGATCATTCCTATATAGACAAGTAACAACAACATGCCCCTTTCGAGAACAGATCTGACACTCTGGAATCTGCTCATATCTGTTAGAAGTGTTACCAGACCACGATTGCCATGAAGTACCAGATCTTGAATTATTGAAACGAGGTTTGTAACCACCATTATTTCTGGGTCGAAAATTATTAGGCTGATAAGATCTCCCTCCATGATGACCATTAGGACCATTAGACTGATAACTAGAATAACCACCATTATTTTGCGAAGAACCAGGGCCATTAGAACCATACCCAGAATTAGATACCCCTTGAGAAGAAGAACCAGAATTGTTCGAACACAAAGAACCACTAGTGTCAGACGGACCAGTGGAAGAATTGGTACTGACATACATAGCAGCCATGCCCTGAACCAAAGACTGGACTCTTGACTCAATAGTCTTCTCAGCACCAATCAACTGTACCCGAAACTCTTTGAAAGAAATGGAAGTATCTCTAGCCAAAATTACCATACGAATCGTATCATAATCAGGAGGTAAACCACTGAGAGCAGCAATGATAAGATCATTATCAGATAGCTTTTCCCCTGCAGCTTGCAATTGATCCTTAATGCCTTTCAACCGTAACAAATACTTATCAATTGTATCACCCCCTTTTTGTAGAGTGTAAAGCTCAGCCTTCAAGTGATTGATACTCGCACTAGAAACAGAAAGATAACGATCTTGCAAAGCTATCCAGGCTTCTCTGGAAGTTTTACAACCAACCACATGTTCTATAGCATCATCACTCAAGGTTGCAATTAAAAGACTCAACAAAGCCATATCTGTTTTAATCCATGCCTTATAGACAGCACTAATCTCAGTTGTAACACCCACCTCAGGAGTAAGAACAAATTTGGGTGGACATACAGATTCACCAGTAAAATGATCAAACAAGTCATACCCACGTAAAACAGACGTAAACTGGAAATTCCACTTTATGAAATTCTCATCAGTAAGCTTGATAGTAAGCATACCTAGCAGATTTTCAATCTTCACTGAATCCGACATGATTACACAACAACAACAGTCCGGAACAATATAGACACTCGTATGTGAAAAAGAAAACCCAGATACCAAAATTGCAAGAAACACCCAACTTCAATCGATATATTCTTCAGAAATGATCAAGAAAGAAAGAAACACAGGTATGGCATCGGCCTTCAAAAATCAAGAATCACAAGAATAAACGAATTCATGAACATAAGTGGCATCGGCCTTCAGATTCACAAGAAAACAATGAGCACCATTGGCATCGGCCTTGAGGTAACTCAATCAACAAAATCTTTACACAATAATCGTGTAGGGCATCGGCCTTCAAATTCCCAAAAAAAATTCCAACTTCAGTAAACATGCGAAGAAAAATATCACCTTAGCAGCAATCGGATCGACAGAAAACAAAAGCACCCGCGCAAGCGATGTTGGCTCTTGATACCATCTTAACACAATGAAGAATCAGCAATTAACTCACAGATATTAAGATGAAGAAGATGAACAGTTTTAGACAAATGTAATCTCTCTCTAAGATCTCTCTACAATTCTGTATTTTTACCTCTTTACAAAACTAACTAGATATATCTCAAAACTCTACTTTTTAACTCTCTCTAAGACAATGACTTAGAGAGTAAGCTATCAATCACATGTGCACAGCACATGACACATACAATCCTATCTAATACCATGTGCACAGCACATGCCAATTACATTTGTATCCAATAAGTACAAGTGAAGGCTTAACTGATTGGGTATTTATCCTAAACCTAATTATTCTTATTTAAATGGAGTCTACTGTAACAGATACGAATTTGTATTCTGTTCTTCAACTGTCTGCGGAAGTCTTTTAATGCAAGCAATTAAATTTTCTTTTTCAATCAATTTGGCCAAATGAAAAATATAAAATGTTTCTTTTATTGTCATGTAAACATATTGCTGTAACATGTCCTTCAAATTATCCCCCATTACTTCATCATAAACCCTAATTTCCAAATTATTCTCTAATTTCAAATTTTAAATTTTGTACAGGAGACTTATATTTCTATAAGGTCTTCAAGGTGTACGCGCAGCTACGGAAATTTCAACAAGAGAATCACCATTATCCCCTGTTCTCTTACTGATATCGTACTCTAGAGGTACCTGCCGTTGGATTTTGTTAGCTGTCTGAATTATTTTTTATTTTTTATTTGAGTTTGTTGGGATTTATTCGATTCAACTGGGTCAGGTTTTTAAGTTGTTTGGACTTTTTTTTATAAGTTTAGATTTCTGGTTAATTTTTAGGCTGGGACAGTTTCTCGCAATGAAATATTACTGCATTCTTTTGATTTCTGGGCATGCATCATTCTTCTGCCTTTTTATTTTGATGAAATCCTGTTCAGTGAACTTTATATACATTGATTTCCAAGGGGATTAAATTACTTAGATTACCCAAATATACATATATCGTTTGAGAAGGCAATTGAAAATTCACTTATTATTAAAAATATGACGAAACATATTGTTTTTCGTTCAATTCAGTTAGCTTTCAGACTCATTTCTATGTTTCCAGATATGAGTTTTAGATGCCGTTTTTTGTTTTTCTCAAATATATATATATTTTTTTTCTATTTCTCTATTTAGTGTGAGACAATGGCTCCAAAATTAGAGTTTTTCAATTTCTAGGCAAAGGAAAGCAAGAAGAATAGCAATGGTGTTGACGATGGAGAATCGCAACTTCTTTGTGGTGGATATCGACGGTCCATGTGCAGCATTCAGCCCAGTTGATACGAGCAGGGGTCAAAATGCAGAACGAATGACATGGGGATTTGTTTAATTTTATCGAGTTCTGTACTGAACTTCCACCCCATTTCACATAGTTTTGAAAGTGTGTGTGTGTGTGTGTGCCCGCGTGTGTAAATAGGATTGAAAGTATGGTTGTATATATGTAGTAATAGAATTGTAAACATTGTAGTAATTATGTGTAACTAGAATTGTAAACCTGCGGCATGGCGCGGGCTTTTTAGTTGTTGTGTACTACAAGACAGAAGATCAAATGGCAGAAGTTCTGACAAAGGCACTGTCAAAGGACAAGTTCACATACTGCATAGGAATGATTGGTGTGAAATCAGCTACAAGCTTGGAAGGAAGTGTTAGGATTTAAGCTTTGAAGCTGATTACACTTTGTTCAATTTCTGTATTTTGTGTTCTTGTTCTTATTTTGTAATGAAGTGCTGAAACTAGAACTAGCTATAGGCTAGATTAGTACCATCTGTTATAAACTTATAGCAGATGAGATTGTTAAGTTGTACATGTCGTCAATAGAGCTAGTGGGATTGCAACAGTTACTTCCCCTCTCTCCCTCTTTTCTCTCTCCCTATCTCTCTCTCTCTCGTCTGTTAGAATCGAATCCTATACATAGAAGCAACGTCTTCAATTTTGCTCTCTCCTCTTCTTCCTGCAGCTCACAAATCAATCACTCACTGATTTGTATTCGCAACATCAACCAAAACTAAATCAAACATTTACAAGGTGAGTGGTTTTAAAAGTTTGCATGGAACATGACGTGGATCAGTCTATCTTCTGGAACAAAAACTATGATGACTGCCTACTTTTTCCTAGTTGCATTAACGAGTTTGTAAAATCTCTTATCCTCAGGCCTTCCACAGTAGGCCTGAAAAAGTAAGGATACTAATATATTGAACTCATACAAGAATCACACTTTTACAGTGTGTTGAAAAAGTTGAGTGTGATACCAATTTATTGAACTCATGAGTTTCATGAGTTCAATATGTTAGACGTTCAATACCAATATATTGAACCCACACTAGTATAGTGGTGTAGAAATTAAACTTAGATTGCCTGGAACAGAGAATGCACAGAATGGTGCTCAAAGCAGATCCTTCAAACTAATGGTGCCCAAACCAGATCCCAAGAAAGAATGATGCATAGAGAACCGTTGTTTGCCGCAAATGCAAGTGAGGCATTTTTTCCAGAACTTGACCAGCTTAGCGTACATTCCTACTCTTTATGTTATTTTAATTTTAACTTTATGTCAACATTATTATGTACTATGTAATTGATAAGTAAGAAATTGGGATGGGCATTGGGCAAAAAATAGTGGTTTGGGCAATGAGCATGCGTAATAACCGAATTCCTATGGAGAGGTTAGCAAGTGTAAAATCAATATTGAAATAATTAGCCGCCAGATTAGTAAGTGGGCAGCCCATTTTACACGTTTGCCATTTCAAGTTTCAAGACCACTGATTCGACTGGATTAGCGAATAGGCATTAAAATAGATACGACCATGTAATGTTTTGGCATCAAAGTCGTTGGTGGGTTTCTCACAGAGAAAGGACTTAGGCGTGGTTTGGTATTGTTGTGCTTTGAAAAAAAATTGTTTCTGCTGTGCTGTGAGAATAAGCAGCCGTGAAATAAAGCAGCAGAGTGTTTGGTAAACTTTTTTGTAAAAGTGATTTTGAAAAGAAAAAAAAAAGCAGTATTAGAGTGTTTGGTAAACTTTTATGTAAAACAGATGTGAAAAAAAGCCGGTTTTTCAAAGCTGGGTTTTGCAGCTTCTTGTTTTTGGCTTTTTTTTCATCCAAAACTGTGAAAAAAAGCTGAAGCTGAATGTTTACCAAACACAAAAACAGCTCCCAGCTTTTTTTGATAGCAGCTTTTTTCAGAATCACTTCAGTACCCAACCAGGTCTTAATAAGGCTTATTAAACGTGTTTCAGCAGCACTAATCAGGACTTAATTAAGTCTTGATAAATGCCAGTCTTGATAAATGCTAAATCACTAGTACTTAATCATAACAGAAGCTTTATAATAAAAAAAATTATTATTATGTATGGAAATCAAAGTAATAATATTGTTTTCAAGTTGGTCCTTAAGCGTGCATCGCATTCAATGAACTTACATCTCTTTTTTTTGCCTTTTTCTTTTGATTTTGGCATTCCACTGTCTCACTAAATTTTTGTTGACTATAGCCTGACTTAATTTCTCACTTCCACTTAGTACCAAACTAAGAATGGTGCCCGTGCGTTGCTGCGGATCTTAAAACTACTGAACATAAAAGAAGAAAACAACCAGTGCAAACTTGTAATGGATAGTTTGTAATTAACAGGTTTTTAGTATGTTCATACTATTTAAACATAGAAAATATAATAAGAAAAAGAAGCAGAGTGTTGGCAGAAAGTGATGTAATTTGCACTATACCTGTAGTTCAAGTCTGTGTAATCAATTTTAGTTGTGAACACCGGTAACATATATAACTTAGAGAACAAAAAACAGCAGAAACTGAAGAAGAAAATGATGTGCACATAGAATATACTGCAGTAACTATAAATTAAGGTTATAAGTGTTTTGATATTGATATAAATTTGTGGTGGAGAATTATGCATAAGAGAATATGCAAAGAGTTATAAATATCAAACACAAAATGGACAAAATATTTTTACAAAGTTGTCTAAGTACATATAATTTACAGAAAAGACATTATCAAATGCCTTATCATCAGCATACAAAAAATGATTTACCTCGCATTCCCCTTTGACAGTTAGTGCTTCACTGGCATGACTACTTGAACAAAAAATATTGTAAAAGAGCACACTGTTTATATACACAAAAAGTATGGGGAATTGATGTGAGGATCTACTATTTACACACACAAAATTGTCAACTGATACTTGTTTGTTTTGGATTACAGATGCCAACATTCTTTAAGACATGAGCAAAAGTTTTTGGCTTTTGGTTGAAGCAGTCACTGCAGAAAAAATAGTTTTCATCATGAGAAAAAAATGGAAGCTAAAAATGAAAGATAATGTTAATAAATGTGTAATAAATTTTTGAGATGAACAGATTCATAGCATGGAGCAATTAATAATAAACTATAGTTACCTAGTTTTTTTTGTATGGAGCAAAGTCTGTCTATGAGCTGGTTGGTGACGATTTTCTTTTGAACAATTTGATTGGAATCTGGTCCTGATCTTGCACATCTGTTTCACATATTTCTTCTGCTTGACTGTATCACAAATATTTAAGATATGAAAAAGATAAATTTAGACCATATTGAGTTCAATTTGAGATGCAGTTCAAAATATTCATATATAGTGTATAACCTTGTTTTAAACGGTACAAAAAGGGCTCTTCTAATTGATTCTCTTTTTCTTTTATGTGAACCAGCAATTATGTCAACATGTGAATCAGTAACTATGTCAACAGGTGTGCTTGAAGATGAAACTGCTGTAGAAGAGACTGTAACTTGTTTACTTAGAGATTGTGGAGTTGTTGGTTGAATGGTGAGCTCCTCAGAAATGTTATAGATGAGAAGATCATTCGAGTTCAATGAATTTCTTCTGCTTCCAAATCGAAGGTGATAAATTTTTTTCTGCCCTATAAGTCTAAGAAACTCACTTGGCAGCTGTTTTTGATCCACTGATCTCTGATTGAAAACCAAATCTTTACAGGGTACGCCAAAAACTTTTTCACCTGATCTGCCAATGATAAGAGCACTGATCTCGTCTGTCTCATCTTCAAGAACTAAGAACACTTTGTACCTTCATTTAAAAACATAATATATAGAGCCTTATATGTTATTGAAAAGGCCAGAGAAAAGGGATGATTTCATACTAATTATCCTGTATTAGCTATACATATACATATACATATATATATATATATATATTTTTTTTTTTTTAAAGTGAAGCAATAACATTATAAAGAACAGAACCTTCGAATGGTATTTTGTGCTTCTCTGTTGAGAAATTGCAGATTGTATAACATATCTTTTTCTAATATTTGAAACACTATTTGATATTTGAACTGATAGTTAAACTAAATAAATGAAGGCATTAGATGCTGTTGGTTTTTTTTAGATGGAAGTTGGGTGCAAAACTTAATAAACTAAGGCATGGTAGTAATGATAAAATTTGGTGAAAATGAGATTGAATTAACTTATGACATATTGTTAGCTCTTCATTGGACCAGTACTGAGAGGTATACAACTTGAAAAATACATGCAAGTCAAGAGTTTGAACAAATATCATGACCTGAAACAAATTGACTAATATCAAGAACACAGACATGGCTAGGTTGGGTAATATATGAATGATTTGGTGAATGGAATGTAATACTTGTAACTCCTAGTTTTTACACTAAATGTTGGACAAAATAAGAGTAAAAAGATCAATGACATCTTGATTGGAATGAAATACTTTTATATAAACGCTAAAAACCAAAATGTTATCAAACTAATTTGCAGTTGGAGAAGATAGTTGAAAAATTAATTATCAAAATGAGAAGAGTTAAACTAATTTAGGCATTGTTCTCAACATTATTAGCACATATCTGACTTGTAGGAAAAAGAACTAATGCTAATCTGAAGAGAGAGGAGTTAATAGTAAAGAAATGCTACAAATCTTATTAACAACATCTATATCCACAACAGAAGAAAGCAAATCTTGATTCTAATTGCAATTATTAATGAAGTGATTGGGTTTCAGGTTGTAGTTGATGCTATTTAATTGATTATTGGTTTGATAAATGGAATCTAAACTTGCAACAATTCATAAAATAGAAAATTTGAAACAATGTTAGAATTATTACCATGGAGTGGGAATCTGATTTGAATGCTTTTGGTAAATAAGTTGACCACTTGTTGGATCTTGATGCATTTGTTTTGCGCACGTAGGGCAAGCCGTGTACCACCATTCATATTTCGTATTGTATCGCTTAATCGATGCTTTGCACAAAAATGTATCATTCTGTGGAATGTTGAAAAATTTGCATTAACACAGGGACAGATTATTAAATAGATAAGTTTTTTGAAATAACTTCATAAAAATTGAAAACGTTTTTATTGAACATAATTAAAAAGAAAACATTTTATATACCTTATATAAGTCAGGATCCAAATATCCTAACTCCTCAAGTGTCATCTTTTTCCCAGTTTGGAAAATGTCTTGCTCATTGGCTTGCTTGGAAGGAGGCAGTGTTTTAATGGGATGAGGCCAGGTTGAAAACCTGTAATCATTTAGATTGAAAATTGGAAAAACAAAGATAAAATAATTTAATATATATATACATATATATATATATATATATATATATATATATATATATATATATATAACCACGCTATGATTATCATTGTATGAGAGTGAATGGACTCACACTGATTTGTATGTATTCAATTCTGGAATGTCTGGATCTATAAAGAAAAGTGTTGAACCAGTGTTGTTCAAGATGATGCTATCTGTGCATTAAACAAAAGTCAAGATATAAAAAGAGAAAAGTTATGTAATAATTGACATTTAAAATAGTTTTTAATCCAGGCAAACAAAAAATTGCAAATCGTAGGTTATAAAATTTAATATCGTTTTATAGATTTTAAATAGTGTATGACAATAAAATCATATCTAACTCAAAACGGGCAGCATGAAAATTAAGTTTCTTGTATGAAAAACTACCTATACAATATGATGCAGATCTCTCATCAACAATTTGACTGTTTTCTATGTGAGAAGCTTTGTTTGATCATGATTAAATGAAATGTATTTATTGATGTGTAGAAAAATTGCTAATTTACACTTGTAATTATGTAACATTATAAGTTAACATTTTTTTTTATGCATATACGTAAAGATATGAGACATTAATGGAGTCAATGTTTGAATACGCTTTATAAAATAAAATCACCAAACATGGTTTTGCAAGGGCAGAGAAACAAAATAAAAGTCAGTTTAATAGCTAAACAAATTAGAAAGAGAAAAAAAAAAGAAATTTTTTTTTTTATTAAAGTAAATACCTCCAAACAGTTTAACCTTCAAGCTTGTAAAAACAATAATGATTGGTTGGTGTAGTTGTTCTAATGAGAAAGCAGAAAAGGCATGTGCAACATCTGACCATAGTGTGATCTTAGCTTCTTCATTTCTGTAAAACAACGAAAGCCATAAAGGATAAAAAAAATTTTAAAGTCATGAAAATCTTTGTATTTAAAATTATTGGAACTATTTTTAATAGAAGAATATGACTATTAGCCTATTGAAATGGAATTGACAGGTAAAAAGCTTTTAAATTTTATTATGGACACGAAATGACCTGATGTTTTGTATAACCAAATCACATTTGTCCTCAATTCTCTGATTGATCTGTATTGGTTCTACAGGCTGGACTGAAATGAGGTGGCCAATAACATCTTCAAATTTGAAAAAAAAAAAAAAAAAAAAAAAACAAATTGGTAAGCTCATAGGAAATTGTTGAATAAAATAGGCACGAACATATATTAAAATGTTTATTTATGTATATGATTACCTGTCAAGATATCACATTTGTTTAACCGAGGATATAATTTGTTATAATCCTGCAAGAAAAATCTGTGTCGTGGAATAGGCGGAAAGACACTTGCCAACTTCTTAAAAACCGTCTTCGAAATGAAAATGATTTGGGTCTCATGTGGAACAACTCTATACTGAGCCCTTGCATAGTTAGTACGGAAATTCATGATCTCATAGCAAGTGCCTGCTTCAATCTTTGGAACTATTATTTCATAGTCCATTTCAGTAGAAGATGCTTCGATAGCTTGTTGCTTGATAATAAAAAAGAAAAAAAATTAAGGGAAAAAAAAGTTATAATGAGAACAGTGTGGGTAAGCATATTGTTCCAAATTTTATAGTTGAAATAACATGCAATTATGTGTAGATCATAAATATTAAATAGCAATATGGATCGTAAATAGCAACAGTGAATTAACAACTATAAGTAACAATTCAAAGGAAATGAACATGTGTACAAAAAGCTTTGCAGTGCACAGGATAAATGGCAAAACAAATGTATGATTTGAGAATATAAAACAGGACAATAAAGAGTTTTCAAATAAATTGTACACGATCTTTAGCACAGCCAGTATAAAAACTATGTCATGCGCTTTAAAGATAATAATTCATTCTTAACATAGAAGATCAAACGTTTATAAAGTCATTTGATAAAAAAATTATGACAAACCTTCTCATCAACCAATATACAGTGCAAGCCTGTATATTTGTCGCCCATGCCTGGGTATTTTGGTCTCCATATCCTACAAACACGTACTTTAATTCTGACAATCTTTTTATATGCCGCCAATTGATCAAGCGGAGTTGGACCTTCGTTTTCCATTTAATCTATAGAAACGAAATATTTATAAATTTATAAACCGTGCACCCAAGGAGATTTAAAATACCAGTCACAATATATGCATTTTTATAAATATTATAAACGGATAAAAAAAAAACTATAATTGAAATTTGATTTTGAGCGAGATCAGTTATTCAATAATAATAGTGAAATAAAAATACATACATTTATTAAATAAGTTGTCAGTCTCTTTTGATTAATACAATCAGATAAAAAAAATCATTTGTTGATCCTATTAAATTTGATTAAGCATTGAGATGATTTTGATACAACAAATAGTCAACATTAAATAGGTTTGTACAAAATAGTATAATCTAGTTAACAAAACAAAACATACAAATACAAACGTTGCATCGCAAATAAATCCGTATAAGAAAAGGCGGAATTGTTGTTAAATTGCAGCAGGAAAAACAATTAATTTAATAGTGTTCTTATTTGGTTATAACAGAAACATCACCTTCTTCACTTTTAACAACACACAATCCATATTAACAAAAGCATCACCATCACCACTTTAATAACAACATTTGATATGGTATATATAACACTTATATAGCGTGATATATTAAAAGATACCATAGTACAGTCTAAACAGAAGTAAAACCAATCAGATAAAAAAAAATTTAAGTGAACACTAAAACGTATGATATAACACCCAGGTCAATTGATAAAAGGAAAAAGTAAAAAAAAATAATACCTGACAAAAGGAAGCAAGAACTCCAGCCAGAAATCCTCAAGACAGCACCTGTTTCCCAAAAAAAAAAAAAAAATACATGAAAATGCACGCTCCAACGAAAGAACATCATAAACAGCAAAACAACATCACAACTGCAAAGGAAAAACAAAAACTCCAAAGCAAAACAAAATGGAAAGCAAAAAGCACAACAAAAATGAGGACCAAACTTACAAACCCAGATTGAGCACCGAAGTTACAAATTTAGATTTGCAAGCAGCAAATACCAAAAGAGGAGAAAAAACATAAGACCGAAGCTAAAAAAAAGAAGAAAAGAAAAGAAAATATGACAGCAAACGTGCAGCAAAGAGAAGAGAAATAAAAGAGAAGAGCTTACAAACCCAAATTTGCAAGCAGCGACACAGAGAGGGGAGAAAACGCCGAAGTCGAAACCAAAAAGAAAGACAAATGAGAGAGGAAACGTGCAGAAAAGAAAAGAAATATAAAAGCGAAGAGCTAAAAAGCCAAATGCATGGGATCATTAACACGTGGTTTGTCCTAGCCAATATAATATATATATATATATATATATATATATATATATATTTATCTTTTTGTTTTTCTCCCACCTCGCATCATGACCTTGGACTATCTTTTATGCCCTGCTATATATATATATATATATATATATATATATATATATTTCTGCTACTTCGCATTTATTATCTCTTTTTTCGAGGAATGAGCTTTTGGTTAGTGCCATCAGGCAACTGCAAGGCATCCACCTTTTCCTTTGTCTGCCTCTCAAATGGAAGAGGATGATCAACACATGGCATAATGTAAACCAAAACATGCTGATATATATATATATATAAATATAAATATATATATATTTCTATCACCATGCATTTATTATCTCTTTTTCAAGGACTGGGCTTTGGTTACTGTCATCGGGCAACTGCAAGGCATCCATCTTTAACTCTGTCTGCCTCTCAAATAGAAGAGGATGATTAACACATGGCGTAATGTAAACCAAAACATGCTGATATATATATATATATAAATATAAATATATATATATTTCTATCACCATGCATTTATTATCTCTTTTTCAAGGACTGGGCTTTGGTTACTGTCATCGGGCAACTGCAAGGCATCCATCTTTAACTCTGTCTGCCTCTCAAATAGAAGAGGATGATTAACACATGGCGTAATGTAAACCAAAACATGCTGATATATATATATATATATATATATATATATATATATTTCCATCACCGTGCATTTATTATCTCTTTTTCGAGGATCGAAGAGTACAGTGACCTGAAACAAAACACAGAAGCAAATCATACAACCAAACAATAGATCTAAGGATATATATTTCCATCACCGTGCATTTATTATCTCTTTTTCGAGGAACGAAGAGCACAGTGACCTGAAACAAAACACAGAAGCAAATCATACAACCAAACAATAGATCTAAGGATATATATTTCCATCACCGTGCATTTATTATCTCTTTTTCGAGGAACGAAGAGCACAGTGACCTGAAACAAAACACAGAAGCAAATCATACAACCTATATATTTCCATCAGCGTGCATTTATTATCTCTTTTTCGAGGAACGAAGAGCACAGTGACCTGAAACAAAACACAGAAGCAAATCATACAACCAAACAATAGATCTAAGAATATAAACAAATCCACCCTGATAAAATCCAAAAACCAACAAAATCAGTACTAACCCAGAGATTTTAAACGGAGGATGCAACAACTATTTATTTTTCCAAAGGGTTTTAAACGCAAGAAATTTGCACAGATGATTTGGCAGAGAAAAATGAGAAAGATGAGAAGATCGGAAACCAAAGGTTGAGAAAAGGAAAGCAACTGGAAACTGAAGGAGATTTGGAGAGATGCAATTGAAGAGAACTTACCACGATGATCGACGCGTGGCAAAACAGTGGAGAACGCATGGGAAGGCTGTGCAAAGGAAGAAAAGCAACGGGCAAGCTGGCATCAAACAAAGACAAACATGTTCCAGATTTTTGTTTTTTTAATTATATTTTGGTGGCAAACCATGCATCATTGCTGCGAGATGTGATGGGGTAAGGTTTTTTTAATTATTTTTTGGTGGCAAGCCATGCATCATTGCTGCGAGATGTGATGGGGTAAGGTTTTTTAATTATTTTTTGGTGGCAAGCCATGCATCATTGCTGCAAGATGTGATGGGGTAAGGTTTTTTAAATTTTTTTTTTTTGGTGGAAAGGCATGTACCATTGCTGTTAGTGTGGATTAGGTAAGAATAAAATGCTGGAATCGAAGAGAGAGCCGGATGGTTACACAAAAAGTAAAATAGAAGAGGGAGTCAGAATGAAAAAAAAAGATACTCAGGATCATCAACACGTGGCCAAAGAGTGAAAGAATCCCGAAGAAAAGAAGGATAACAATAAAGCAAAGGAGAGAAACGGAAGAAAGCAAAGAAGCCAGGGGCAGATCCGTCATGACACTATTGCTGAACAGTGCTAGGAACCAACTGGGTTTTAGTAGATATAATATCTGGTGGAAAATTTGTGCAAATTAACTAAAAGAGAAAAAAAAGAAGTTAAATTGGCATGCAATTCTTTGATCTATATATCTATTTGTATAAAGCGAGCATGACATAAAATAATTGCCTATTCTTTATTTTTAGTTAAACTCCTACATTACTCCTGCTAAAAAAAAAAAAAAATACAAGAGCAAGCATTCAAATTAAAGGAATACTAGCTAGTTTTTCCTTTTTACCTTTCTCACTCACCTCTTTACAGGTGGACACAACTTACACATAGAACAAAAAACTTAATGCTACGCGAAGACGGATTTCATTTTTCCACATATACCCCTAGACATGTACAAATAAAAAAATAAATATAAATACTGAGAAATGACTGAATGGGATTCTAGCCGACGAGATGGAGCTTGGGAGACAATCATAACAATTGCTCTGCTTGCACACCTCCTAGCATGTGAAAAGGGAGACTGAGTTTCTTGAAAGGTGTCCAGCTTTCAAAATCCTGATTCCTCACTTATTTTGGAAGTGCTAGAGAGCGCAAATTGAAATGGCAAGGCTGGTAGAAACCAAAGTTTATACAGCCCGTACCTCAAAATAATGTATTTTATTTTTTTTTAAATGTGAAATAACCAAAATGCCCCTGGTTGGATGCCTTGAGTAATTATGGACCTCTGAGTTAAATTCCAATTTGTCATATTTTTTCTACTCGTTTATTAAATTAGTTTTCGTCGAGTGCGTAGCCGAAACCATAATCGAATTCAGAGTCAGGGAGATTGAGTTATGATTTTTGTTATGTGGAGGGCAATTTAGTAATCCCAATTGCGGTCCCTCGCATGAGTTCTTATCGTTTATAACCAAAATTTAGTCTCTAATTTCAAAAATGTCAATTTTTGTAATATCTTTCAAATATATCAAAAAACCAGTTTAAACATACCTATATACCCTTATAATAAAACTAATTTACAACCATAAGCTAAAATCTGCTTGATCTTTTACGTTTGTTCAAAGATTGAGACTGGAGTTCAACAAAATGAAAATAGATGGAGACTGCAGAGGCGGAGTTCTCAACGGTAAGTAATTGAGCTAATTGGATAGCAATTAAAAAAGGATTAACGTCTATGGGTTTTTTGGTTTCATATTGTTACTAGTTCGTATATATTGGCGTCAGTTTCTTGCAAATATATTTTAATTTTTAAGAAATATTACGCCTTTTTTAGATTTTTTTTTTTTTTATTGAAATTCACCTTTTCAATCTGATTGCTATAGTTCAGCTCAGTTTCTTTATTTTATGTTCTAATTTCTTAGATTTTATTGCTATTTCGTTTTTGAATTTCAAATTTTTTTTTGCCAAAGTTTTGAATTTCAATTTTCAGTGCAAGGAATCATAGCGGTTGTTTGGTCTTAATTGGATCTACAGTACCAATAAATATTATTATTTTTGAAAAATCTTTAACCCAGAAGGATGGAAGTTCCCATCAGGCTACCACTCAAATTGGGAAGAAACCAAATTAGGTTTTGGTGTGTATGTTTAAAGTTGTTGAAATATGGGCTTGGCTTGAAGACTTGTTTATTGCACAGATCGAGGAAGAAGATGAAGAAGGGATAGCGACAGAATTTAGAGACTAAATTTTGGTTATAATTGATAAGGACTCCCCTCTCATATCCTTCCCTCATTATACATGTGACACTCTCTATCACTCGAACTCCTCTGCCTTCTCTCTAAACCACCGAGAACCAGTCACCACCATTTTTACTTCTCTGACCAAATCGTAGCCACAAACCACTAGATGCGTCATCTGGGTAGCCTGTGGAGTCGAATCTGGCTCTGCATGTTCAATCCGATGACGGGAAGGAACTGAACTGCGAGCTTCCTAATTCCCGGCGGACTCGGAGAGCTTCGTAATATTTCTTCTGACAAATTACCTACACTTGTATTAGACAGAATTCATGTAAATTTTGATTCACAGTCGCGCCACAAGCCACATGAAGGCGGCGGACCAGAATGTAAGTGACAGTGAAGCCGAAGCATAAGTCCACATCATGATAACTGAACATTCATTCTCTCCTGCTCCAAATAATTGCGTCATTACTCCTGCCATATTTTAAAGGATCAATAAACAATACTTGAGAATAAACTTACATTTGTTACGAAAAAGAGAGAGCAAGCGGCCAAGCGAGCAACTGCTGGTTGCACTTTTTGTTGCTAAACAACAGAAGAGCAAGCGTACCTATGTTCATCGCAGGTGGGAGTGAAAACTGAAGCAGAAGAACAAACAGATATAATGGATCAGAGTGCACCAACCCAAATTTCAGTGCCCCTTTAACAACCAAGATGCCTATAAGAGGCAGGGCAACATAACGAACAACTATGATGCCAACGAGAAGAGATTTCTGAATCCCTGACCCTCTCAAACCTGAAACAACAATGTGAAGTAAGTTCTGAACTAAACCGACAATTTAAGTACGACACTAATAGGATTTCTCTGAGTTATTACCTTGAAGTAGGTTTCCTCCTATTATCAAAGTGAGAGCTGGGATGGCTCCGTCTCTGCAATCATAAAGAACAGTCTCCTTAAGGGATGCCGAGTGAACAAGAAGAATGATACAGACACTTAGTATAAAGAGCACACTCGTATTTTGAGCCGAAAGTAAAAAACCATCTGGTATGTATTGTAAAGTTGGGATTAACACCAGACAAGTATTCTGCTTTTAGGCTAATTGAGAACCAAATTGTTCATTCGGATATATACAACTATAGGACCAAGCATGGTAAATATCTTCCCTAGTATAGAACTGTATTAAGAACGGGAAGCTAGATTAGTTGCCAAGAGGTGCGTACATCATGGATAATTTATTAAGGTTCGATACAGTTCGGGCATAAGTTTTATACCCCAACAAATGAGCAGTATCTTGAATCACCCGTAGAGGAGCACCATCTCCTATCAGTAATTTTCGAATCTGAGGGATGACTCCGATGGCAAAACCAACAAGCTACACAAGGAAAAGATTTAGTTTGCCCAGTTTTTCAATAAAATTGCACCGAATCTGGATTGCAATGATATAAAAGTGCCGAAAGGACATACCGCTCCAATACTTGCAGGGGCAAATATAGTTTTCAGATTGATCGTTTTCAACACCATCACTATACGTTGCTTTAGTTGACCTGAAGTCGTCGCCTGCCATGGAAAACAACAAAGATATGTTGGATTATAAACTTGCACAGATTTATTACAAGTGTAATTTTCTTATTGGTCTATGTTGCTTTAGTTAGTTATAAGCTGATATGGACACTTGTATTTAGCTCATAGGCTAGATGAGATGAAAGGCTGAGATTGTTTATATTGCTCTTACTTTCTTTCTCTTCCAACGGTTACATTTTGGACTGTACTGAGATCATAAACTCAGCATGCTATTCGTGCGAATGGATCAGAGTTACATTCTCTGAATCTATGGAATTGTTGTAAGGAGGTTCTTATTCCCTCTTGTGATTTCATCACTGTGTACCTTCGTTTTCTTTATTTGGTTCTTGCTCAAATACATTGTCACCATAATAGATCCAAACGTGGTATCAGAGCCAGGTTGCAATTTGAATATGGGCAATCGTTTCTAAGAAAAGTTGAGAGAGTAAAAGGAATCTCTCATTCCAGCGAATTGTTGATTATTGGAATCCAGGTCTAATATGGTTGGAACTGGAGGAGGAGAGCTATGAGCTCCGATCTTCAATGGAGACAACTTTGATTTCTGGCAAATTAAGACGAAGACTATTTTTAGATCCCATGAGCTGTGGAATCTAATTGAAAAGGGATTTGACACTCCAACGAAGATGGAGAAAGAGCTCGCGGCGGCTGATAGCAAGTTGGTGAGAGAAAACTTGGTCAAGGATGCAAGGGCACTAGGAATCATTCAAGGTGCCATCTATGATCAAATATTTCTTAGAATTGCTAACTAGGAAACAACCAAGAGAGCCTGGGATATATTGAAGCAAGAATTCATTGGAGATAAGCAAGTGAAGAGTAATGGTTGGGAGCTTAGTAAAACTGTTTGATCTAATTAATCAAATGAAGAGTAATGGTGAGGAGTTGAGTAATCAACGAATTGTTCAAAAATTGTTGATTAGCTTGCCAAAATCAAATGATAACATAGCTTCTGATAGAAAATTCCAAAGATCTAGAAACCATTGATGCTCAGGATGTTGTAGCAATCTTGAAAGGTTATGAGCAACGGTTGAACAGATATAAAGAAAGGTGTGTAGAGAAAGCATTTGCAAGTTTGGAAATCTCCAAGCCAAACAACAAGTTTGGAGGTCAAAATTACAGTGCCAAGTTCCAAAAAGGTGCAAAATACAAAGGGAAACAATGGTCTAACAAGACCACATGTCTTGTGAAACAATGGCAAGGTGGAAATGCAACAAAAAGACCTTGCAAAATATGTGACAAACTACACTATGGTGAGTGTTGGAACAAAGGGAAGCCTAAATGCCATAAGTGTAGGAAGCATGGGCACATTGCAAAGGATTGCAACTTCAACCAGCTAGGCACTGTAATTGGTTAATGCTGGTCCCAGGCTTACTGAAAACTTGTTAAGTGTTAGGCAAATGACTGAGCATGGATAATTTCTTGCATTTGGAGACTTCAAAGTTGATCTATATGATGACAAAACACTAACCAATCTGGCTGAAAGTGTGAAGCAGAAAGGAAATATGTGTTTCCCATTGTAGCTCAATTCTGGGAAGCAATAATTAGTTCTAGTCTTCAGCAAGATCAAGGGGAAACCTCTGGCTCACAAAGTCCAAATTCAAGCGTTCAAATAAGTAACATTGATTCAGAAGTGATTGATTCAACTCCACTGAGATGGAAATCAATTAGTGAGGTGTATGAAAGATGTAATGTCTGTATTGTGGAACTAGAATGCTTCATTGAAGCTACAACTTATGAATCCTGGAATAAAGCAATGCAAGATGAATTAAATATGATTGAGAAGATTAACACTTGGGAATTGGTGAGAAGGTCCTTTGATAAGCCTGTTATTTGTGTGAAATAGGTTTATAAAACCAAATTAAATTTGGATAGTACAGTTCAAAAGAATAAGGCTAGACTGGTCGCAAAAGGCTATGCCTAGAAGCTTGGAATTGATTTTAATGAGACATTTACACCAGTAGCTAGATTAGACACTATCATAACACTTGTAGCTTTGGCTACTCAAGAGAAGTGGAAATTGTTTCAACTAGGGAAATATATTCCTGCTTTGCAGAGTGTGGTTTCAAGAAGAGCTCCAATGAAGCAATACTTTATACAAGATGCAGGGATGGTGGAGGTATCCTAGTTGTCTCTATTTATGTAGATGACATTGTATATACTGGAAATGATCAAGAAATGATGCAAACCTTTATAGCTGATATGATGCAAAGGTATGAAATGTTTGATTTAGGTTTGCTTCATCACTTCCTTGGAATGAAGATTATCCAAACTAAATCAAGCATTTTCATTCATCAAAGAAAATATGCAGCTTCTTTACTTAACAAATTTAGATTGCAAAATTGCAAAGTTGTGAGTATTCCTTTGGTTCGAAGTGATAAACTCAGAAATGATGATGATAGTGGTGCAACTGATGAAACTCAGTACAGAAAGATTGTTGGTAGCTTGTTATATCTCACAGTAACAGAAAGATAGTGGTGTATGTTGCAAGTCTACTGGCGAGGTTTATGTATTGTCTTACAAACAAGCATTTTGGAACAACTAAAAGGATACTGAGATATGTGCAGGGAACTTTGGATTTTGGTTTGGAGTATGAAAAGGGGAAAGGAAATGTGCTGATTGGATACTACAATGACTGGAGCGGCTTAGAGGATGATATGAAAAGTACCTCAGGTTATGCATTTACCTTTGGAAGTGACATGTTTTCTTGGTCATCTGTGAAACAACAATGTGTTGCACTATCAATAGCAGAAGCTGAGTATATCAGTGCATGTGAGGCAACAACACAAGCAATGTGGCTTCGATTTGTGCTTAAGGATTTTGGTGAAATGCAAACAGAAGCTACCCGACTCTAATGGGACAACACTTTAGCCATTGCAATCACCAAGAATCCAGTTTTTCATCAAAAGACTAAACACATTAACAGGAGATATCACTTTACCAAAGAAGCTTTGCAAGAATGAGTCATTGATCTTCTGTATTGTCCAACTGCAGATCAAATTGCTGATATATTCACCAATCTTTGGCAAAGGAAATGTTCAATTACTTAAGGAACTTACTTGGAGTGAAATTTGTGCTGCTTTTGAAGGGGAGTGTTGGATTATCAACTTGCACAGATTTACTACAAGCGTAATTTTCTTATTGGTTTATGTTGCTTTAGTTATGTCACATCCCGGCCCGGGGCGGATCACTTCCCGGGCCCGCTCTACCACCGTAGCATGATATTGTCCGCTTTGGGCTTACCATTCCTTCACGGTTTTGTTTTTGGGAACTCACGAGCAACTTCCCAGTGGGTCACCCATCATGGGATTGCTCTCGCACGTTACTCGCTTAACTTCGGAGTTCCTACGGAACCCGAAGCCAGTGAGCTCCCAAAAGGCCTCGTGCTAGGTAGAGATTGGAATATACATTTAAGGATCACTCCCCTGGGCGATGTGGGATGTCACAATCCACCCCCCTTAGGGGCCCGACGTCCTCGTCGGCACACCACGACCAGGGTTAGGCTCTGATACCAAATTGTCACATCCCGGCCCGGGGCGGATCACTTCCCGGGCCCGCTCCACCACCGTAGCACGATATTGTCTGCTTTGGGCTTACCATTCCCTCACGGTTTTGTTTTTGGGAACTCACGAGCAACTTCCCAGTGGGTCACCCATCATGGGATTGCTCTCGCGTGCCACTCGCTTAACTTCGGAGTTCCTACGGAATCCGAAGCCAGTGAGCTCCCAAAAGGCCTCGTGCTAGGTAGGGATTGGAATATACATTTAAGGATCACTCCCCTGGACGATGTGGGATGTCACAAGTTAGTTATAAGTTCATATGGACACTTGTATTTAGCTCATAGGCTAGATGAGATGAAGGGCTGGGATTGTTTGTATTGTTCTCACTTTCTCTCTCTTCCAACGGTTACATTTTGGATTGTACTGAGCTCATAAGCTCAGCATGCTATGTGTGGGATGTATCAGAGTTACATTATCTAGATCTATGGAATTGCTGTAAGGAGGTTCTTATTCCCTCTTGTGATTTCATCACTGTGTACCTTCGTTATCTTTATTTGGTTCTTGCTCAAATACATCGTCACCATACATAACAAATCCTAACAAGATATGCAGTGTAAGAAATTGAAACGAAACAGGGTAAATTTCCTTTGTTAGAGATGTCTAGCATGTGACATTGTGAGAATGCGAATCTGGACCACACATTCAAATGGCATTCATTTGATTAGTAGTTTGGATTGAATAAAACGTTTCTAAGTCTTTCTGAAGAAAAAAATGACATTCTCTCTATAAACAAATCTTAATATAGTTGGAAATACGTAAACAAATTATCAAATTGAATGAACATCATTGTAGTTTAATGGAGTTAGCAACCTTTGCTTTTCCTCAACTATGACATTCCTTTGAAGATAGCAGAGGCTCAGTTCAACTTACTTGGTCGGATGTAGAGGACATCTCGGAGGACTGATTAGAATCTTGGGTGCCCCTTCTTGAAGATATCCGCACAATATTATACACATAGGACCACAAATAAACGGCTCCTATCTGAAGCATGAACACAATTGCATTACAAAAAGCAAAGATAGGAATCCCTGATAGCTGAACAAGGTAGCTACATTGTAATGACTAGAATTCAAGAGGAAAATTAAAGGACAAAAGAAAATGTGTTCAGAAAAACGTATTCTACACAGCAAGCAGGCGCACACAAACACCGTTTAAGAACTGGCCCTGGCCGTTTGGGGGTAGTACAATTTGTATGTATAATTGTACATGTTCTAGACATGAGATGAAACTTATGATGATATTAAAAATTAAATTGTGAGTTCAAATTGCAGTAACTGGAATTTTTAACTTGAATGAGAGAATTGGATTGTAACTTATTTGAAGCAGCTTCCCAATCCTTTCTAAATTCGAATCATAGAAAGCTAGATAAAGGAATTTCATGAAAACCCAAAATATTGGAACAAGATGAAGAAGGAAAATGTACCGCCATTGAGAGTGAAGCATAACCCATGGCATACATGTGACAGACATCAGAAGCTCCAAATGGGCTCCCTTTTTCTATACAAACTGCTGGGACTATAACGAGGAGCATCATACCCAAATTACCTGTAGAGTGTTAACATCAGCATCTCTTAATATTGATAAAACGCAAAACCAAATATTTATCAGCTATGTTTTAGAATTAGAGCGTTGGATTACCTGCAGCACAGCAACCCAATACAAGGCCTCGCAAATGGGCAGGAGGCCTTGTTAATTGAATGAGAAGCCATCCGAGCATGGAACCAATTACAAATGTGATGAGGATATTCACAGGCATGAACCACCTATACACATAATAATTAATACGACGTTAACATGATTATATACAATTATACATACATACGTATATATATATATAGATTAAATAAAGTAATTAGAACTCACATGTTAACCATGCTTTGATACGTAATTGTCTGCGCAACGTTGGAACCCACCAGAGCAGGACCGAATACATAAAATACAACCTGTTCGTTCGTTGGTTCACAAAACACAAATACTAGTAAGAAAACAGTCCAACACCAGAGAAATTAAATTAAATGAAGAGGGTTTAGTGCACAAGAGACTGAATAAAGCAGTGCATTGTTTTAACTTACAGTGTTTAAGTTCTTTCTAGTAACTTCCCCCAAAATATTGACACGATCAAGAGCAAGATATAAGCCAAGTGCTGTTATCAAAAGCACTTTCAACACCGGAATTGAGGCCGTCACAAACAGCTGCATAAGCTCCATCCTTTTCCTTTATCAATTATTCTAAATTATTATTAGCTCGTCTTCACCTCCTCCTCTGGCACCTCTGCCTCTGCAATTGTAATGCCAAACGGAAAAGAAAAACACAAACATGTAATCAAAATGCCAGTTTTGGGATAGGAATTCAACAACATATATATATATATATATAAATGATACTAACAAGAGGCAATTAGAGAAAAATGGGGAGGTTTTTAATATGTGGAATCAGACCTTCGGATTTGTATTAAATAGTACTAATATGCATACCAAACGAGGCCTAAGCTGCTATATCCAAGCTCAGAATCAACCGCTTTTGTTTTGCTTTCATAAAAACAAAGGAAAAACAACAAAATGCAATCAAGCAAGAAAGCAAGCACTTATATATGATAGATTTAAGAATGTATTAGGAGGAAAAACAATAAGGGCATATGCATTTATATGCATTCATGCAGCAATTAAACATGTAGTCGCTTGTCTGAGCTCGGTCGACCCGATGCCGATGGGATCATGGGATGGCGCTCAAATAAAAAGGTTTAATCAACTCACGTCTCGTCTGTCGTCCGCGTTTCTGTCGTTTTCTGCTTCCCATTTCCTTTGCCATCGGTGACTTGGTTACTACAATAGACCCATCGCAATCACTGCTCTTGTTTTATGTGGTGTTCCTCCCAAACGAAGAGAGTTCGTTGGAACCATATGTTCACAGTTATTTCTAATAAAATATATTCATTTATTCTTCATCATCGATATCATATTTAACAGTGAGTGATCCATATACTTTATGAATAGCCCAAATAATGGTTGTTTGATCCTCATGAAAACAGATGACTAGGTGGTACTGAATCCACTATTGTGATTTTATATTGATCATTGTGCTACTTGTTTTCATATTGTGACACGTCCGATCCCAATATCCTCAAATATCAGGATAGGTATATGTTGGCCGATACCCGAGGGTGACGAAGCCATTTTAAACATGCATACAAGTAAAATATGTAATTAGAAAGCAATGCACCAATACAGAATCGTGTTCAGAGCATACAATTAATTAGAAAGCAATGCACCAATACAGAACCAAGGAATGAGTCTTACACTGAGAAGACTCGAAGATACCTATGCGAATGTGCCTTGATGCCAGGATTGAATGCCTCAACTCTAACTCTTGAGGGGGGCGCAAAACAAAGGGTAAGTGGACCAAAATTTATAATAATAATACTAATAATAAGAAAACCATTTTCTTTCAAAACATATTAAACCCTTTTTTGAAAACAATATATAGTACTACATAGTAGGTTTTTTGAAAACTCTAGCATGCCATGAAAAACGTTTGTAAAATATGTACGTGTAAACCAGTGCTCAGTAAAGGTAATATAGCCGCCCGAAGGCAAATCCGTAAATCTCATCAATGATGTACTCAACTAGGGGTATCATAGTGGCCCGTAGGTATAACCATCACCAAAGGTGAAGCTGTACACACTGGATTATGCCAGTGAAGAAACCATGGTCCATCACCCGAATGTGAAGCTATATGACTCCGGGTTACGCCAGAGAACAAGATATAACATATGTATGTATATGTAATGGGTCCATCACCCGAAGGTGAAGCTGTACGACTCTGGGTTACGCTAGAGAAGAAACATAGGGTCTATCACCCGAAGGTGAAGCTGTACGACTCTGGGTTATGCTAGAGAAGAAATATATACATATAACATATCACACCGACACTAGCCCCGGGCTAGTGAAGCTGGGGGGCAGGGGTATGTCATAAATATCATCAACTATATCCTATGGCCATAGACATCTACATTCCCAGTTGTGTGTATGTGTTGTATGATAACCCACTAGATAAGCACCGAAAACATACCTCAAAAATCCCATATCCAATCCGGAGCTCAAAAGCTCAAAGCCTCATCATAACCATGAAAAACCATATTCATAAATCCGTAAAATTATCATATGCGTAAATCCAATACTTCATAACGTTTCGTAAAACATTATTCAATAAATCATGAATATTTTGTAAAAGCAATTTAAATAAATCATAATTTCTTCGTAAACCATAGTATAGAAATCCTTAAAACATAATATAAAACATACTCAATTTATGAAATATACAATGCATGCAAGCCTAATATTTTATAAAAACAAGCAAGTTAAGAAGGGGTCTACTCAAGGATATTTTGTTGCCCTGGAAGTCGCTCAAGCTAGAGAGAATGGAGTCACTTTCCACCGATACACCTAAGTGGGACGTGAATCGTGGCAGATCTGGCCTGAAAAAGGTCTACAACCTTGTGGACTCGCCAGAATCTAGGGAGAAGTCCCCACGTTGTTCTGTGGAATTCCACCATCCAAAACACATCTCCATGATCAATAATAACTACAAGGATAAAAGGGAAAAGGTTAAGAGAGTTATGTGGCTTACCAAGGTCGAAGTTGTTGAGGACCTCACCGGAGTAACTCGGGTTCGATCGTTAGCCTTTGCTGGTTTTGAACAGTGATAACAACTCTAGAGAGAGAAATAGGGAGAAAAGATGGTGGTTGTCACATCCCGGCCCAAGGCCGATCACTTCCTAGGCCCGCTTCACTACTGTAGCATGATATTGTCCGCTTTGGGCTTACCATTCCCTCACGGTTTTGTTTTTGGAAACTCACGAGCAACTTCCTAGTGGGTCACCCATCATGGGATTGCTCAAGCCCCCTTCTCGCTTAACTTCGGAGTTCCTACGGAACCCGAAGCCAGTGAGCTCCCAAAAGACCTCGTGCTAAGTAGGTATGGGAATATACATATAAGGATCACTCCCTTAGGCGATGTGGGATGTCACAATCCACCCCTCTTAGGGGCCCGACATCCTCGTCGGCACACACGCGACCAGGGTTATGCTCTGATACCATATGTCACATCCCGGCCCAGGGCGGATCACTTCCCGAGCCCGCTCCACTACCGTAGCATGATATTGTCCGCTTTGGGCTTACCATTCCCTCACGGTTTTGTTTTTGAGAACTCACGAGCAACTTCCCAGTGGGTTACCCATCATGGGATTGCTCAAGCCCCCTTCTCGCTTAACTTCGGAGTTCCTACGGAACCCGAAGCCAGTGAGCTCTCAAAAGGCCTCGTGCTAGGTAGGGATGGGAATATACATATAAGGATCACTCCCCTGAGCGATGTGGGATGTCACAGTGGTGGTCTGAAGGGTTCATTAGAGGGGTGAGATGGTGTGGTGGTGTGCGTTCGTGCCCGGAGAGAGGAGAGAGTGATGAGAGGGAGGGAGAATTTGTGAGTGAGTGAGGTAAGAGGTGTCCTTGAGAAGAAGAAGACAAAAGAGAGGGAGAGGGTTCGAGAGATTAGGGGAGGGGAGGACACGTGGCAGACAAAGAAGTGGGGTGTGGGCCCCACATGACAGAAATTGTTAAATAATAAAAATAGCTAATCCTAATATCTAGAATAGTGAAATGATTATTTTGCCCCTCGACTTCGTAGTTCGTAAAACGTTCATCGTAACTCCAAATCCGATCAACAATGTGGTCAACAAAAGTTAACATTTTTTCCTCGATGGGCATTTTTGTAACTTCATGCTTTAAAATTATAAAAACCGTAATATTTGGAGACGGGTCATTACATATTGGAGATAGACAAGATTATTTTTAGGATAATACTTGCATACTCCTATATAGAAATGCATATATTTTATCTCTTGCAAAAAAAACGAATTTTTATAGTATGAATTTTATAATAAGGACTTTATTTATTTAATATTCATCGAAAGACATCCCCACAAACAAAAAAAATGTCAAACTGCTTTGCACCGAAAAAGTCAACTACCTGAACTTGGCTCCGAAAAAAGCCAAACTATGATGAAAAAAAAAAAAGTTAATTTCTCTACTAACAATAGAATTTAAAGGCTTGTTTGATAACATTTTGGTTTTAATTTTAATTTTTTGTCTTAAAAATAGAAGAGTCATACATAAAAGAAAGAAGCGTTATAAAGAGTGAAGGAATAGAATGATTGCAATGGTGTAAAAGAAATGTCCAACAAAAGGTATACAAAACGAAAACTAAAAATCAAAACCGAAATTTATTTTGAGTTATTTTCACTTTCAAGATCTTATTTTAGGGAGATGATTTTCACACTTCTTTTAGACTCTCACGCACAAGAGATTTTGTAGTGTGTCCACGGGTACATATGTCATATATCATTACACAAGTGGAGTGATACTTGGGAAAAAAAAATTCTTCTGCTTGTATAATAACATATAATGTACCGTTCCTTGTTTCAGGCACATTAAAAATTCTCTCCTCACACGTATACTCTTTTTTTTTTTTTTATACCATTGAATTAAATAAATTAAAAAGAAACAACGGTGAGGATTAAACGAGTGTATGTACAAAACTAAAAAGAGTGTATAGATCATTTTCCCTATTTTTATTTGTCCTCTCTTCCACCATCCCCCTTCATTTCTTCATTCTCTTACTTTCTATATGTAAGCGCGAAAACTAAACACGAAATAATAATTAAAAAAACATATATAACTCTCTGTATATTCAGACTTGAGTGGGACAAGATTATCTCATTTACAATATAAAAAAGAAACAGCTGTTTTTCTCTTGTTTTTCTTTTAGTAATGAAAACAACTGCGTTTCTAAATCGCAACGGACGAGAAACGAAATCAAAATTGATGAGCTAAGGGCCTAAACTCACGCATCTGAGCCATTACAAGAGGGACATTGGTCCTTCTGTATCTTCTATTTAAAAGTCTTACAATCTAGTAAGATTTATGAAATGGGCTTCGGTTAGAATACATTCCCATGAATTACCAAACAAATCGAAAGAAATTAGCTGAAAGAGTTGTCCCATACTTTGTTATGGAGCTCTTCATATTATTAGAAGAGAGGTCTAGTGTTCTCAAGGATGGCAAGTTTCTGATGGAGTCTAGAATTGAGCCCCACAAATTATTGTGCATGAGGTTGAGATTATGCAAACTTTTTAGCTTTCCTAAGGAGGCTGGCAGTTGACTTTGCATACCATAAGGTTGAGTTATTTGGACGTTTTTGAGAAACTCCTCCAGACCTATTCAATCGTCCCCCCGCCGCCACCCCAAACAAACAATTGTAGATATTCCCAATTGGTTGCAGAAAAATCAATATATAGGAAGCAATGATCAAGTAAAAAAATGTCAATATTATGAATTATGTGATTGATAAGTAGAAATTGGGACGGGCAATGGGAAAAAAAAATAGTGGGTTTGGGCAATGAGCATAGTGGCCGAATTTTAGAGGTTTAGGAATGTAAAATCAATATTGAAATTATTAGCCACCAGATTTCAAGTGGGCAGTCCATTTTACATGTTTGCCACTTCCAAGTCCACTGAATTTGACTACATTAGCCAATAGGCATTAAATGGTGGGTTGGTGGGTTTTTGAAAGAGAAAGGACTTAAATATGGCGTAAAAATATCTCATCTCCACCCTTAGGATTTCTTTTCAA